GCTCCCATGTCAGAGTTTGGGCAGCTGTGGAAGCTGGTCCCATCTTCCCTGCTCAGCACGTCTGATCTATGCACGTTTCAGTTCTATGACATAAATCAATAAAGTGCACTAAATAAATTAAGTGAGCAGCAGAACTGTAAATAGATTTCAGAGGGAGAACAGAGAGAGGTTGAGGGAACCAACAAGAGACTATTATAGGAACTGAAGTGAGAAATGACTCAGGCAAGACTCAGGATGGTGGCCACAGAGCCCCCACATTGTTACACAGCACTGAAATATCAAACAAATGAAACCTACAGGCTTTGGAGATTGTTCCACAAAAATTGCCAGCTGGTGGCTGCCAGAAATCCCAGCTTGCTGGGAAACAGGGGAAGGGAGCAGGGATGACTTAAAACCCAGCTCAGCTCAGACAGGTGGCTTCCAAAGTCAGGATCCAAGCTTTTGAACCCAATGGGCTACCCAGTGTCTGTAATGTGGCCCCTGTTCCTCATTCATTCATTCATTCATTCATTCATTCAACAAACCTTTACTAAGTCCTTGCTATGTGCCAACCCCCGTCTGGGACACGGGAGCCACAGGAGGACAAGCTCCAGTGCTGTCCTCAGGGAGGGTCCAGTCTGCTGGAGGTGACGACCTCTATGCAGTGTGATAGGCACTAACAGGACCAGTCACAGTGGGGACCTCCAGGGTTCAGGGTGGCGTTTCAGAACAGGCCATGTCTAAGTTGGGTTTTAAAAGATAAATAGAAGCTTGCAAGGCAAATAGGAGGTAAAGGCAGTTCAGGCAGAGGACAGAGCACATGCAAAGCCACAGAGGCATGAGAGAGGATAGAGAGCTTGGGGGAAATGTATGCGATTGGGAGGCAGGGTTGATGCACCAGGTCATGTCATGGATTAGAGAAGGAGGAGTGGAAACGGCAGACAAGCCCAAGGTCTCTGAGGACTGTGACCGCCATGCTAAAGTGTCCTGTGTAAGTTTGGGAGACCCAAAAGGATTTAAGCAGGAGTCTGATGTAGATGGATTTGTATTTTAGACAGATAATTAGGACTTCAGTGTGAGAAAGTTTTGTTTTACTTTTTATTGATGTAGCCCATACATAGAGAAAAGTGCATGTATGGCAAGTGTGTAGCCCAATGAACCCGCATAAACTGAGCGCAGCCATGTAACCGGCATCCAGATTAAGGAACCGCTCGCTGCCACCTGCCAGAGCCTCCCGCACGCGCCCCCGCAGTCTCATCCGTTCTTCAAGGATGACCATTGTCCTGACTGCTAGCAGTAGAGATTCGTTTTGCCTTGTTTCCAGTTTTATACTGGAAGTGGAATCATGTAGTATGTACTCTTTTGAATCTGGCTTCTTTGGCTCAACATCCATGCTTCTGGGAGCGGTTGTACACGGCTCATTCTCACTGCTGTGAGGCCTCCACCGTGTGTGGACGGACAGTGAGGAATTGCCATGAGGAGGTTCCAGGGCAGCCTTGACAGCAAATCTGAATCATGCGAAGCTCAGTGTGTTCATTCGTTCATTCATCCATTTATTCATTCTTCATTCACTCACAGCGAGAGCCCATCTACCTGTGAGTAAGCTCCCACCTGTGTCTCAGGAACAGGGAACTTCACACCTTGACAAATGACTTGGTACAGATCTTTACTGGGGATTCTGGTTAATGTAACAATGGGAGGAAACCCCGACATCTTCATGGACTCTGAGCAGGGATCTGAGGTGCAGCCTCGTCCAGCAAAGGGGGCATCCCTATCCATGGCTGGGGCCCTTCCACCAGGTCAGACCTGTTTGCTTGGCCGCCTCCGCCGGCTGCAGGGCAGACCCCTCACCTCACTCATCCATGCTCCCCAGGGCCCAGCCCAGAGCTTGCCACATAGTTGGTGTTCAGGAGTGTGAACATGGCGGCACACGGAGGGTGCTCTGCTGGGCTCTGGAGAGGGAGCGAGGGTTTGTTACCTTACCCAAGCATTTAATAGGTCATTTCTGGGTGACGATTACCAGGGGAGACCTTGGCAAGCAGTCCAGGCAGAGGAAGGAGTATATGCCATTAGTATATACACCCCAAAAGCTCTCTGGGCCAGTTCCAGCACAAGCAGCTGCCAACCATCCTTGAATCCTGTGATCAGGCCCGGTGTGGTAGCATATGCTCTATGCCTCAGTTTCCTCAACTGTAAAATGGGAATTAAATGAGTCAATGTGTGTAGAGTACTCAGAATGTTACCTGGTACATGGTAAGCATTGCATGAAGCCAGTGAGTGTGTCATGATCAGCATTATGTTTTGCAGACCAGGAGGGAAGTCACAGAGCAAGCAGGCACAGTGTGGAGAATTTAGTAGATGAATGTTCTTCTACCGGCCATCAGCCGCCAACTCCCTGTATGGCCTTGAACAAGTCATTCATCTCTGCAGCTCAGGTTCCTCGTCTGTGAAACAGACAGCGTGGTGAGGGCGCAGTGAGGATCTCACTTCCTCAGGTGCCTCTGGGAGGGCCGGGCCAGGCTGGGAAGTCTGGGGTGAAGCCACTGGGGCCGCCATGAGCAAAGCACCTGACCCCCAGGAAAGCTGAACTGCTTGAGAGGCAGCGAGTACATGAAAATCATTCTCCGACTTGGTAGTAAGACCAGCCACTCAGCCTCCTTGTAAACATTTTATAGACACAGCCAAAAGGTCCTCGGCATGGTCGCCAAGCCCTGAAAGTAAAATCACGAGGCCAGGAAAACGTGAAGATACAAACTCTCTGGGGCACTTGGTCCTCATAAAAGAGGCAAGAATGAAGGTCTGGTGTTTCCAGAAGGAGGCAAGGCAACCCACCTGTCACCGTACAAGGGCACACACACGTGTACACACATCCACCCATACTCACACTTGAACACACACATCTGTCCACGTGCTCACATGGGCAAACACACACACACTCACATTTGTACATGTGTCCATGCCTCCATGATCACATATGCTCACCCATCAACAAGAACATGTGCACGTGCATGAGACACATGCACAACATTCTCACAGGAGCACCTGCTCATAAATGTACACACTCACCCTTGTGTATGTGTGTGCACACACAGACCCTGCTTCCTGGAAGCTAGACTTGGAGCAGAGTTGGCCCTGGAACTCCAAGGCTTTGGGGACTGTGGGATGAGCATCCTGGAGGGCTGCCTCCAGGTATCGGCTATTAAGACCCAGTACAACAGAGGGGTACAGAGTGTAGGCTCTGCGCCTTGTGAGATGTGAGACCAAGGTTGCTGAATGTCTCTGAGCCTCAGTTTCCTCCACTGTCCAGTGACGTGAGAATGCCAGCCCCTCCCTCACAGGCTGTGGGGGAGGTTTCTCAGTTAAAACACGTAAAGTGCCTGGCACATAGTAACTGTTCAATAAATACCAGCCATTTTTCAGCAGGAAAATTAGTAGTGCTTCCCAGAGGCCTCAGTTTGGAAGCCAGGGCCCGAGAGGCTCAGCCTAAGACTTCAGGGATGGCTTCAGGGATGGCTTCAGGGAAGACTAAGCAGCTAAAGGAGACAGAGCCATGGGGAAGCCAAGGAAACAGAGGAGGCCGTCCCTGCTGCCCCAAGCTTGCTTACTCAGACAGGGGCCGGAGGGCCCTGCGAGTTCCCTGTCCTGCGTCCCTCAGTCTCACGGACTGCCACTGAGCTGGAGCTCTCCAAGGAGACAGCATCTGTGAGACAGAAACATCGCCAGCCTCCATGGCACACTGAGAGGGGTCAGAGACGCAGCCCTCCAGGTCCCTGAACCCCCTGACACGGCACAGAAACCACAAGCTCGGCCCTACTGTCAGGGGGTGTGGGTGGCCACATGGCCTGGGCTTCAGAAATGCCCCTAGGCCTAGCACTCTAGGGCCCCCCATGTTGAGACACTTATTGTGACTGGACTTCTGCCTCAGTTTCCCCACCCTAACTCCCAGGACCAGAGCCCTCGTCTCACCTCCAGGCTGTTTGAGGACACCCGCGTGCTTGTTCTTTCCTGGCAGATGTTCTCCTTGGTGGCAGAAGGGAGGTGGCCACGCCCTACAGTCCCGTGGCAGCGAATCATCCAGGATCCATTCTCCTGGTCTTCCATAGTAATAAAACTCCTGAGTTTTAGCTGAGTATAGAGTTGCCCAATATAAAGGCCTCCTTTCCCAGCCTGCCTTGCAGCTAAGCTCTGGCCAAAGCGACATGAACAGGTGTTGTGGGGCAACTTCTGAGAACCTTAGAGTGGGCTCGCGGGCTTTGCCTTTCTCCTTTGCCCTTTGTCCACCCTGCTGCCTAGAATGCAGATGTGACAGCTGGGGCTCTCTCCACCAGCTTAGGCCATGAAGATAAGGTCCATAGGGATGACAGAGAGGGGCAGCAGGGGCCCGGACCCTGAGGACTTCATGGAGCCGAGCCTCCCTGGATTGCCAACTTTCAAACTTTGGAGTGGTGAGTAAATTTCTCCACTGAAGCCAGTGATTGCAGATCACTATTACTTGCAGCTAACCCTGGTCGCAACTGCTGTACCCCCTCCGCCCTCAAGCTGCCCTTAATCATCCTCCTGCTGCCTCGTGTGGCTCTGAGCATCACTGTGGGCTCAGAATCCCTGCTGTTGGGCCCTGCACCCCAGTGAGACTTCTCTGCATAGCAATGTCCACTTAGGCTGGACCTCCCCCGGCCCCCGGTGAGATGACAGAGAAGGGACATCGGGCTTCCCCACCTGCCGAGGTCTTGCGTGACCCCAGCTCCCTCACACATCCTACCTCCTGCCAAGTGTTCCCTGGGAGTAACAGAAGTGTAATAGCTCTCGGCACCGCCCTGCTGGGCAGGGAGAGCACGATGATCTTCCTCTCCCACTTCACCGACTGCTTGAGAAACTCTGGAGCTTTGCGACAGGGTTCCGGCCGCCTGGACAGATGCCGAGGCCAGGTTTGCTGCAGGAGAAGCCCTCCGGGGGCCGCCACCCGGGCGGGGGAGTGCCTCTGGAGAGAGATGGCTTGCACACCTGAGCGGCGCCACACTTACCTTTCTCCGATGCTGGGGCCAGGTCAATGAAGCTGCGACATTTTTCACCTTGAAAAGAAAAGAAGGGTTTTCAGAATGTGAGAGGAAGTGAACGCTGTAGGCTTTGCCTCTCCCCCTCCCTTGAGCGCTGTGGCTGAGGGGGGCCCAAGTGTCTCTAACCCAAGTGGCATCTTTCTCTAACCCTCATTCCTGGAAAGATAATGTCCCTGTGGAATGCAGTTGAACAGCCCCCTATAATGCCACTTCCTCTCCCACCTCCCAACCCAGTCCCATCCTGTCACTCCCATCCCCTCAAGGCTCGGGACCCCCTCCATGGCCTCTCCACCATCCATGCCCACCAGGACAAGGGTCGCAGCCCCTCACTGGGCTCCCGGGGCCTCCCCTCTGGCCTCTGTCCAATCTGTTCTCCACACTGAAGCCAGGGGGATGTTTTTCAAAACACACAGCTCTCTGATAACACGCGCTCATGTACACAGACACACATATATGTGCACTCTTGCTCAAAACCCTCTGATCTTTTCCCAAAAGGTAAAGCCCAAATTGTCCACATGGACCCAGGCTTGGCCTCCAATGGCCCCTCCACCCACACCCCCTGCCTCCTTCCTCTCAGCTCCCGTGTCCTTGAGTTCCTGCCACCATGAGGGCTTCACACCGGCTGTCCCCCTGCCAGAACACACTGCCCCCTACGATAGGCTCCCATGGCACCTTGGCGGTCCACGCGGCACCCAGCCACCTTATGATTCTTCCTGCGCGTGACTCCTGAATGGATGGCGCACACGCTGGGAGCCCCACGGGGCAGGCTCCGCATCCTCCGTGCACCCCCGGCTCAGTAAATGGCAACTCCATCTCCCAGGGGCACAGGCCGAAGCCTGGATCGCTCGCGCTCTCTCTCACCTCCACTTCTGAACTGTAGCTCCAGCTTCACATTGTATCTAGAATCTGAGCGCTTCTCCTCACCCCCACCCGTCCAGCCTCCAGCCTCTCCCACCTGGGCTGTTGCAGGAGCGTCTGCACCGGTCCCCCCGTTTCTGCCCTCATCCACGCAAATGGCCAGAGGGATCCTGTTATAACCTAAGATGAGGTCGTTCCTCTGTTCAGAACCCTCCTATGATTCCCAGTTCACTCAGAGTCAGAACCTAAGCCTCCACTGTGGCCTACAAAGCCCTGTGTGCCCTGACCCCTCATCACTCCCTGGCCTCCTCCCCTAACACCCTCTCCCCGGCTCTCTCCACTCCGGCCCCCTTGGCCTCCTCGCTGATCCTCAAATGTGCCAGGCACATCCCTGCCTTGGGGCCTTCGCACATGCTGCTCCTTCTGCCTAGAGCATTCGTCCCCTAGATAGCTAAAGGATTTATCTTTGCTCCTCCCTTTACCACTGGCCGCAAACGCCACCTTCTCAGGAGGCCTTCCCTGTCTAAGCTATTTAACATTCCAAGCATCCCTGCCCCGACACTCCCCATCTCTCTTCCCGCTGCACCCTCTCGCCTAGACTAGTGCCTGCTACATAGTGAGTGCTCAGGAAATATTTGTTGGGGTATGTGAATGAATGAATAAATAATGAATAAATGAGCAAAGGGGAAATGAATGAATGAGTGCCTTTATCCAAACATTACGCCTATAGGAAACTTCAAGTCTTCAGCCTGTCCTCTGAGGCCTCCTTGATGCCCAGCACTGTGCTGGCTGCCGAGGATGCAGCGATGAGCAAGGCACGGCCAGGCTCCAGGCCTGTCTTGTGAAAGTTGCACACACTGGACACCCCACCACCCACTCCCAAACCCATTCTGTTCGACCCACACAGGATCCTAAAAACAGGGAAACTGTCCCCTACAAACCCAGACTTCTGGTTTGCTTTTAAACAATCAGAAGAGCAGGCCATGCTGGGCCCACAATCCCACAGCACAGCAGTCAGAGGGGACGGGGCAGATGCCACCCCTCTAGCTGGGGCACGTGCTCTCTGGTCTGCCACGGCTCCGACCACTGCCCTCTGCTCTAGCCCGAGCCTCCCTTACTCCTCTGCGACACTCGACTGGACGGCCTTTCGAGTGAGCTTGCAACCCCTGGTTTAAGGATTTTACTGCTGGTCCTGGCAAGGAGATAGATTTGGGGTCAAAATGGAACCAATGTGAGTTGGGGGATGAACAAAATCTGGAGGCTTCTAGCATTGTCAACTCCTGTGTCTGCTTGAAGCTTCCTAAGTTCTTCTCTAAGAAGGTCTCTTGAAGCCCTTTGGGCTCCTGGACTTCCTTCCAGCCCCATAGAAATGCAAAGGCAAATATGGGGCGTCGGGGGAGATGCTGAGAGGGAAGGCGAGGCCAGGTCATGAAGGGCCTTCAGTGCTAGGCCAAGCAGCAGCCTCCGCTCTCACTTACAAGATCCCTTCCCCAGTTGCGAAGCCACAGGTGGGTAGGTGCCGCTCCTGTGGTCTCGTCGTGCTCGCTTCCCCTCTAGGCTCCACTTTGACATGCAGGACCCTGGCCTCCCTTTACAGAGGAAGGAAATAAGGCTCAGGGCCGTGGAGGGACCAGCCCGAGCCACACAGCAGGTTAAGTGGTACCAAGATTAGAGCCTGCGGGAAGAAGTGTTTGCTGACAGCCAAAAACTGGAAGGGAGGATTTTAAAAATGAAAATAGATGATGAGCTAGAATGGATGGATTTTGAATGGATTATTTTAAATTTCTTTAATGTTCATATTGTTTTCTCAAAACCGGAGAGGGAAAATTTTAATGGCCAAATTCAGAGCAGCACCCAGGGCTAAACGGAGACTTTAGTGGGCCCTAGGCACTTTTGCCTTTTGGATCCCTTCCTATATAAAAAAATAAAATAAATTAAAAATTATATTTTATAATTTAATTAGCTAAAGATGAATATATTAACATTGCATGTTAAAATTTTTATTCACCTTAAAGTTTACTTTTTTCTTCTGATTTTAAAAGAAATTAGTCCTGGCTAGTGTGACTCCGTGGGTTGAGCGCCTGCCTGCAAACCAAAAGGTCGAAGGTTCAATCCCCAGTCAGGGCACGTGCCTGGGTTGCAGGCCGGGTCCCCAGTTGGGGGCATGAGAGCGGCGACCTATTGATGTTTCTCTCACACATCGATGTTTTTCTCCCTCTTTTTTTCCCTCCCTTCCCCTCTCTCTGAAAATAAATAAATAAAATCTTTATTAAAGTTTTAAAAATAAAAAGAAAGGAAATTAAAACGTTTCCATGGGCCCATGACGGCATCGCGGCCTTGGGCTCCGTGCCCGGCCCAGAGGGAGAGGTCGCCTGCAGCACGCGGTCTCCTGGCTTCCACATCGGCATCTCCCCACCGCCGCTGGGCTCCTTGGCACGAGTTGGGACTTCTGTGCTAGGTATTTTGCTCTTTTTCTTTAACGGTTATATTGAGCTATAATTCATGTTATATGTCATTCACCCTTTTAAAATACACAATTCAAAAGTTTCTTAGTGTATTTTTAGTATATTCCCACAGTTGTGTGACTATCACCACAACCGATTTGAGAACATTTTCATCACTGCCTCCCCAAAAAGCCCATGCCTATTCGTCCCCATTTCCCCCCATGGCTTCCTGTACTGACTGGACAACCACTAACCAACTGTCCTTCTCTATAGATCTGCCTGTTCTGGCTTCTCTCACTCGGCATGATGGTTACAAGTTTTATCCATGTTGTAGCATGTGTCAGTACTTCACCTCTTTTTGTTGCAGAATAATATTCCATTATATAAATGCATGATATTTTATTTATCCATTCATCAGTTGATGGACTTTTGGGTTTGTTTCCACTTTTTGATTATTTATGGACATTCATGTACAAGTTTTTGTGTGGACAAGTTTTCATTTCTCTTGGGTAAATACCTATGAGTGAAAATGCTGGGCAGTGTGGTAACTCTATGTTTAATGTTTTGGTAACTGCTAGACTGTTTTCTAAAGAAGGTACACCATTTTACGTTCCCACCAGCAAAGTATGAGGGTTCTAATTTTCACCATCTTTGTCAACACTTGTTATTGTCTCTCTTTTTTGTATTATAAGCATCCTTGCTGATGGGGAGTGGAATCTCATTGTGGTTTTGATTTGCATTTCCTTAATGGCTAATAATATTAAGTATCTTTTCATGTGTTTATTGGCCATTTTTGGAGAAATTCAGGTCCTTTGCCCATTTTTAGTTGTACTATTTGTCATTTTATTATTTAGTTGTAAGTGTTCTTTTACATTTTGCATACAAATACTTTATCATATATCTTATTTGCATATATTTTCTCCTACTCTGTAATAGTCTTTCCACTTTTTAAAGATTTTCTTTATTTATTTTTAGAGAGAGAAGAGAAGGAGAAAGAGACAGAAAGAAACATCAATGTTCAAGAGAGAAACATCAATTGGTTGGGACTGGGAATTGACTGGGAATTGAACCAGGGACCTCTAGCTTCACGGGACAACGCCCCGTCAGCTGAGCCGCACCGGTCAGGGGCCAGGGCTCTTTTCACTTTCTTGATGATATTCTTTGAGGTGCCAGCATTTTAAATTTTAATGAATTTAAATTTTTTGAATTTTTATCTAATTTTTCTTTTGTTGCTTATGCTTTTCTATCATATCTAAAAAGGCTTTGCCTAACCCAAGATCAAAGATTTAGTCTTATCCTTTTCTAGTTTTATAATTTCAACACTTACCTTTAGGTCTATTATCCATTTAGAGTTCATTTACATGTATAGTGTATAAAAGAGGTTCAACTTTATTTTTCTGCATGTTGACATCTAATTGTTCCATTTGTTGAAAGATTATTCTCTCCACTTTGAACCATCTTGGCATCTTTGTCAAAAATTAATTGACTGGAAACGTGAGGGGTTTTTTTTTTGTACCCTCAATTCTTAATTCTATTCCATTGATGTATATATCTATCCTTATGTAGGTACCACACTGTTTTGTTTACTATAGTTTTATAATAAGTTTTGAAATTGGGAAATGTGAGTCCTCCAACTTTGCTTTTCACTTTTAAAATTGTTTTGGCTCTTCTGGGTCTCTTGCATTCCCATATAAATTTTAGAATCAATTTGTC